ATGTACTGTCTCTCTGGACGACTCTCTTGACGAGCTTGGTAACGAGTTGCTAGCACTACGAAGCTCGTGGGCTAAGAAATCTAAGTCTAAGGGTGACCTACTACTCGCGGATGTAGAGCTTGCACGTACACGCGTAGGTGCACTGTTGGACTCAGGATCCACACGATCCTACATATCCGAGAAAGCAATCCACAAGTTGCATCTCGGAATGAAGGTAAAGAATATGTCACGACCAGTCACGCCTGTCCTAACTGACAAAAGCACGATCACTGTCTCCCAATATGTTGATTGTGTGAAGTGTCGATTCTGTTACCAGAGAAGGAAAAATGATTCTACACGAGGTATCCTTCTTGGTCGAAAAGAATTTACCCTTTGACTTGATTCTGGGAATGGACAGGCATGAGGAAGCCAACCCAGATATCAAGTTCAAATAAAAGATTGTGCAGTTGCGTGATGCACACTCTGAATTGAAACCAATCAAATTGTTTCATAAGTTTGGCTCTGACTCTAATCTATCTTTCTGTTGTATGAGTTATCCAACATTTCGATCAATGGTTTCAAAGAAAAGGTTGGAACAGGAAGTGATGATGGTCTTAGTGAAGAAAGCATGTGAGTCTTCTACTTCCTATCCGTATTCGATTGAAAAACTCTTAGATGAATATAAAGAATTATTCACTGAATCAACAGGAATAACTGCACGTGCTATAAAGCACACCATTGAAGTTATTCTTGACAGTAAGATTCCCAAGGGCCCTATCTACAGAATGTCTGCTAGGGAAAACAACTGCAGGACTTAACAAAAAAAAGGACGGATTCGCCCTAGCTCTTTCCTTATGGTGCTCTTGTCTTATTCGTGCCCAAAAAGGAAGGTGAGTTGCGTCTTTGTATTGATTATAGAGGGATGAATGTCGTCACTGTTAAGAATGTCGAACCTCTTCCACCAATTGACGACTTACTTGACTAGTTACAGGGATGCAGGTACTTTAGCAAGATCGACTTGAAATCTGGGTACCACCAGATCGAGGTGGAACCCTCCGATCAGCATAAGACCGCTTTCCGGACCAGGTATGGCCACTACGAGTTCGTGGTAATGCCCTTCGGATTAACAAATGCCCCTGCCACTTTTCAAAGGTCAATGAATGACTTGTTTCATCAATGGTTGGATAAGTTTGTCATTGTCTATCTCGATGATATTCTAGTATACAGTAAGAGACTAGAAGATCATGAGAAACACCTTCGTCTGGTCCTAAGGAAGTTGCGTGAGGGCAACTTCAAGATCAATCCCAAGAAGTCTGAGTTTGCTAAGTCTGAGGTGTTATACCTAGGACACATAGTGAACGAAGAAGGTCTAAGGCCGGAAGAGAAAATGATTTCAGCAATTAGAGATTGGCCACAACCTAAGTCTATATCTGAATTGCGATCTTTCCTTGGTTTAGCCAGTTACTACAGGAAGTTTGTTAGGAACTTCTCACTGATTGCTGCACCAATGCGAAGATTGTTGAAGAAAGAAACTATTTGGTTGTGGGATAAGGATTGTGAGACTTCCTTTTGGAAATTGGAGTATGCATTGACTCACTATCCCATCCTTAAGATTGTTGACCCGTCCTTACCTTTCATTGTCACCACTTACGCAAGTCAGTATGGGATTGACGCTGTTCTCCCGCAGGATGACGGCAAGGGCTACAGGCCCATAGAGTTTATGTCTGCACGACGGCCGTCGGAAAAGGTTGCCAACTCCACCTATGAAAGGAAGTTGTATGCCTTAGTCTATGCACTAAACACGTGGAAGCACTATTTAGTAGGGAGGCACTTTACTGTGTGAAGTGGATAAAGAGAACCTAGGCTCTCTGATAAGCTGGTACGATGGTCTGCGTTTATTGATACCTTCGATTTTGAATTGAAAACGATCAAAGGTAAGTCTAATGTGGTTTGTAGATGCATTGTCCAGACGGAGTGATTTCTTTGGTGCAATTGTCTCTTACTTGGATGTTGGGAATGACCTGAAAGACCAGATACGCCAAGGATATGCTACTGATCCTATCTGGAAACCAATCATGGATATCCTTGTACGAGATCCGTCCCAACTACCCAACTATAGACTGACTGATGGATTGTTGTTCTTGATTGACCAAACCGAACAAAGATTGTGTATTCCTCATAAGGAAGAAATTAAGAGTCTGTTGATTGGGGAATGTCACGATTCTGAGGGTCATTTTGGTTTCAAGAAAACATATGCTGAAGTCAGAGAACGTTTCGAATGGAAGGGACTGAAAGAAGATGTACTAACATATTTTTGTGCTTGTTAAGTGTGTAAGAGAAACAAGTCGTCGCATGAGAACCCCCTTGGACTTCTCAAGCCATTACCTATGCCAAGCGAACCAGGTGAGTCTATCTTAATTGACTTCATGAGTTTGGTTAAAAGTCGCAACGGTAATAGTCAAGTGATGGTAATTGTAGACCGTTTCTCTAAATACGCTATGTTTGTTTCCTTACCAGCAGAAGCGCGTACTGAACTTGTCATTCAGAAATTTCAGATGCGATGGGTCACTGAGTATGGGTTCCCGAAAACCATTGTGTCTGATCGAGATGTCAGGTTCACTAGTCTGTCATGGCAAAAGTTGATGGAAGCTTATGGCACGTGGCTGACCATGTCGTCAGGGAGACATCCCGAAACGAATGGCCAGACTGAACAGATGAACCGTCTATGCCAGCAGCTTTTGCGCATGTATGTTAGACTCGATCAAATTGATTGGGATGAGAACTTACCCAAAATTGCGAGTGCATATAACAACAGTGTCCACACTTCCACTGGACGAACCCCGAATGCACTTCACAAAGGGTGGAAACCTAGACGTCCCATTGATGTACTAAACCGGGACCAGTTTCTGAGGTTGCCGCCAGGGACCCGAGAATATGCAATATTGTTTCAGGAGGACTTTCATAAAGTTAAAGATAATCTAAAGAAAGCTCAACTACAGATGATTGAACAAGCCAACAAGCACCGTCGACCGTCTACATTTAAAGAGAGGTGATTTGGTTTGGGTACAATCTAAAGAGTTTTCACTAGAGAAAGATGTGTCCCATAAATTGCTTCCTGTCTATTTTGGACCCTGGGAAGTTCTCAAAGTAATTGGAGATGCAGAGGGACCGTCTTATCACATTGATATTCCCCCTCATCTCAAAACATATCCTGTCTTTCACGCGTTCAAACTGTTACCCTATGTAGAAGGAAATGAGTTCCCACACAGACCTTCTATGATCCTGCCAGACATGGACGGCGGATACGAGGTAGACAAAATCATAGAGCATGGGTACTTTTCTACAGGTGGGCGTGGACGACCCCAGAAGCAGTTCAAGGTACGTTTTAAATCTCAGGCACCATCTGAGGACAGATGATTTAGTAAACAGGAACTACTTGGAACTGCTCCTGATATTGTCGCTGCTTATGAATGAGGGTTAAAGTCTTAAATATTTCTGCGGTGGAACTCGAAAATGGGCCGGCAGGAATGCAGTAAGCCTGTTCAGAAGTAGCCTGGGGCCCAGAACTCAGCCCCAGGCAACGCAGACCTGAGTCAGTCTGGGCTGGGCTGTGTGACCAATTCACGCCCAGGCCTGAGTCTGTCGCGAATGGCTGTGTGACCGAACGCTACACACAGGAAATTCAAAGGTCAAAGTCAACTGTAGAGTCAAAGGTACCGCACCCAGGCCCTTGGTTGGATACACTCACTTGTTGTGCGCAGGAACCCAGACAGCATCCAGACCGGAGGGAATTCGGTTTCAGAACAATCTGGGCCCTCGTTTGCATTGAGATCTGGACGGTTGAGGGATGCAGCATTCGGGGTCCAGACCCGGCGTCAAACCTACATAAGCGCTGACTTCCTGGCTTTGACATTCATTCTGTCTTGCGTCAATGCTGACTTCACGCGTTGACGCTGCGACGCTGGTGGACGCTGGCTTTTGTGTTGGCATTTGTGAGATTGCGGCGACGCGCTGCTGGCTGGGCATGGTGGCTGGCTGGCTACTGTCTTCAAGGCATGCTGACGTGGCAGCTGCCCCGCGTTGTTGCTGACGTGGCTGCTGCCACGTGTTATATTGCTGGGACTACGTGACCGGCACAGCTGTTCTGTTTCATCGTCACTTCAGGAGGAGATCAGGACTGTGGAGAGGTTGTGGATACGTACCTGTTTGTCTTCATGTCGACATTGCTCCAGCGCTGATGAGGGACTGATTAGACATGCCACGTGGCTCATTGTAGCAGGACTTCAAATATGTGTTCAGACTAGTTGAGGTGGCGATCGAGGAGGGAGCCCGAAGCAGGAGCGGGCATTGTACATTATTCCTTCTCCTTTGTCTAATCTCCCTCCTCTCTCCTTCATCTGTGTACGATTATCTCATCTCATTCTTTCTGGACACGATTTTGATTATTGATAATCATCAGCAGCTCGATATTCTGGACTTGTATTGTTGACGAGTGTCTTCACGATCTGGGTTCATTGCACCCCGAACTCACTGAAATTTAAAACATGCACTTGTGGCTCTGAGATTTGGTGCCTTTTGCACTGTCTTACCACCACCCTACCGTTTTGCCACATTGTTCAATGTCGCTTGAAAACTGAATTCATCCAATGCACGACACCTTTTGGTTAGATTCATCTGACTTCATCATGTCTGACGTGCTGCGACTGGTCTGCATCTCAGCTTATGGCAGCTGCACTAGCTGTCCTATCTGCGGGGCTGAACACATGGTTTTGTGATTGGCTTCCTCTGCTGGTGATTATTTAACATCAAAGGTTTGTTGTCCATACAGGTTGATTTGATAATGTGCTGTCTCATGGTTATGGACACTGATAATGTGTTTCTGTTGCCGCGAGTGGAGGTTTGTACAGATTCGGAGATTCCCAACATGTGAACAAGTGGTGGCCTGTTGATTAACTCATGTAGTCTTTTGACTCCAATGCAGTTATGTGGATATGGTTTCATGAATTTTTTTCCGTGCACAGGGATATCAGGCTTAACTCTTTTTCTGGAGTAGTTCCAGAGGACATGCTGAACATGACCTGGTGAGTGCCCTTTCAACGAGCTTCATTTGGATGTCACTCTGCACAGTGAACCTATTTTCCCTCATGGAGGTGTGTAGCAGAGCTGCTTGTGCTATGTTCCTGCCCAATTCACAAGGCAAGGCCTGGCTTACAGTGCAATGTTTTGCTACTTGAGAAGAATTGGATAGACTAGGAAAGCAGAAGAATGGAGGAGCGAAGAAGAAGAGGCTCCTCTTGAAATCATCATCTCTCTTACATAATCTTCTCCTTCTTTTGTAAATACAATAATAATTGAATGAATGAAGAAGAATCAATGTCCTGGTAAAGCCCCATTACTGCCAGCAGTCAAAGATGCATTCCTTAGGCCTCTCAGTCTCTACTATCCTTATGGTTACATATCTAGTTATGGTTGCCAGTCCATGTCAACCACAGATGTCCAATGGACTGTGCACTGCTATCATGCCTCTCACATCTCATTCTGGCTAGCCACACTCCTCGATATATGTGCAGCCACTAGATGCAGTGCCAACCAAGGGAATGGAAATGGTCTATCATGGCCAGAAGTAAGTCTCTTTTGTTGGCTCCCTCTTTCTTCCTCCTCCTCAACCTTGACTCATGTCCTCCACCTACCTACCTTCATAACGTAGCTTGAGGTTCTTCTTGCCCTACGTCCATAGCCTAGCACCTGCAGAGGGTCTTGGATTCTACGTGGATGCTGCTGCCTGCGAACGATCTTATGGATGTCGCGTGTTGACGAGTAAGTCCTTGCTGCAACTGTGCTGGTGTGGGCTGAATGTCACGAAACCTAGCTTGAGGTTGTTCTTGCTCTACCTCCATAGCCTAGCACTTGCAGAGGGTCTTTGTTGCATACCGTAACATGCAGACCAGAACAAGAACCGACCTTTCAATACAAAGTATAAGATAGCACAGCGGAAGACTTAGATACTAGTGATCCGAACAATCAATGTTGTAATGCAGCCCTGAACATACATCATCATCATTGTTACATGGTGTGAATGGGTCTGGCGCTTCACACAGGAAGACTGCACCAGCCCATACCATACACAGACGAAGAGGAAGGGGATAGATGAAGAGGAGGGGGAAGATGGGAATGTCGTCAACACCAAGTCTTCGGCACAAGCCCAAATAGTCCCTCATCGAAATGTCTGAATCCCAAATGTCAAGTCTGGATCCAATGTCGTCAAGTCTCAAGTCACAACTCTGTCTCTCTCTGTCGTAGTCTGAGAAGTCAGGTGGCGAGAGGGTGAGAAGAGATGGTGGACTCAGAAGAGGAAGAAGAAGAACTCTCTCTCTCTCTGTGTCCAGTACTAACCTGTGAAGTTGGCGCCTTGATGCAGGTACCACGAAGATGGAGCTGGAGCGATGGCGCCACAGGTAAGTATCACTGGCCTCCGCCAGTATCTCTCCCACTCTACGATCTACCACCTACCAGCGCCCAGCGCTGAAGACTACAACTACAGCTATGGCGCCCAGCGCCGAAGACTACAGCTAGCGCTAATACTACCTAGCGCTGAAGACTACTGCAGCGCTCCTCCTGAGTGCTGCGGCCGAAATCCTGAAGACTACTCGTGCCTACCTGACACTACCTGCCTGTGAAGTGCCTGGGAAGGTCCTATGTACTACCGGGGTGCCTCCTGACTGCTGGCGAGCAGTCCAGGAGGCTGCTCTTGCCAATGCCGATCGGAGGCAGGGGCTGCCGCTGCAGCTCCTGCTCAAACTCGAGGAACAGGCTATTCTTGGCCTGTTATGCATCCCTGTTTGCGTGCCTGAGTCTTAGGGGCAGGTCGAAACAATGAGGGCTTGAAAATGGCCCTCCGTTTCAGGCTGAAAACTCTGGGTCTGAAAAGACCCAGAAATAGGCTGAAACGGGGTAGGGCCTGCAGGCCCTCGTTTTTCAGCTTTCAGGCTGAAACGACCGGGGCCTGTAAGCCCTAAGTTTTAGGCTTTTAGGCTGAATGTCCGGGACGGGCCCTGCAGGGCCCGTGTTGCTACGCAGTATGCCACAGTCTTGGATTCTGCTTCCTGTGAACGATCTCATGGATGTCGCGTGTTGACGAGTAAGTCCTTGCTGTAACTGTGCTGGGGTGGGCTGAATGTCATGACCAGTAAGGCATCCGGCTGTTATTGCCGAGGTCACCGGTTCGATTCTGTTTGGCTGTGGAACGATCAGGGCTACAATGGCGAACTTACCAACAATAGGTGTACTCCCTTCTACTACTACCGCATAGCCGGAGGCGGTTTTCCTTACGCTTAGCTGCTTTTGCTTCAACCCAGAGCTCTGCCTCACTCTCCCTCAGCAGCATGACTGCAAGTTGACTGTTCAGACTGCTGTCTTCTTTACTCCTTTTTTAAGCTTTTTTGAGAATACAGAGTGCCTTGTAGAGGGAGTATGCATGTGTTTGAAAAGGGGGGAAAGGAGCTATACATGGGTCTTAAAGGAGGTTGAAAGGGGTTTTGACTTCCAAGGCGTATGTTTTGGTTCGATTTTTTGTTTTCTTTTTTATTTCCGAATTTGTAAGGAATGCTGAAGTGACCCTCAGCCAAAAGTTGGTTGCATTGCAATTGTGGACGACCTTTTTCTTAATTTTTTATTTTTTTTTTGCGGGGAAGTGGTGGGGGTTGCACCGAAGTTGCGACCGGTTTGCTGAACATAATGCCCGGGGCATATAAATGAATATGATCCCCGCCAGGCGCTGGGCGTTATATTCGTGTACAACACCCAGGCATTTTTTTGTGCACCAAATGCCATGGTCTTGACTCTCAGCCACCTGTTCCTCATCTAGCTGGATTTCAGTGTGACTACCAAAGGATATAGTTTTCCTTCCTCACCAAGGAAACCAATCTACGTTTTTGACATGAATATGTAACGAGTTCCTTTCTCATCTGACATCCATGGCCCAATTATGATGCTTATCAGGGTTGCAACCCTCAAGGTACACAATATGTTCAAGAGACGTGGACTCTGAATACCTGTTATAACAGAAGTTCAATAAACAATCATGACATATCATCTTGAATAATATCAATAATAATGATCTAGAATTACCTGGGGCCGGTCGCCTGCGGATTTATCTCTATGGTGTCGCCCTTTTAATAGCCATTTCGTTGAAATTGTAATGAGCTGCAAAAATCGCAGACTGAGAAACCTGCTGTTTTTCGAGTATTCCGGCTTGTTTGAGTAACTTGCTGAGATTCCCCTATCCTGCTGAGATTTCTAAGTTTGTCTGGGTGCATGATTGCTAAGTTTTTGGGTGTTTGCCTGCCTGCATGATCGCATGGGTGTGTGTGTGTGTGTGTGATCCGCTGGGGTACTTTTGTGTGCTGAGGAGTCTACGGGCCTGGTACTTACCTGTGGCCATGTTGCTGTGCAGGTGCAGCGGGTTACATTAGACTAGGGTAGATCCACGTAGGCTGAAAAGGCAAAAAGGTTGTACGTTTACAGGCCGAGGTAGATTTTAGAAGTCCGGTAAGCTTAGATGCCACGGGTACCGGTCCAGTGTCTGAGTCTAGAGCCTGCTGGGGGGAAATATCAGTGCAATGCATCGCAGGTTTTAGCGGGCTGTAAACTAAGTAGTTAGGCCCGCTGTTTGCTTCGTTGTTTTGCCCATCTGCCCCTTCACCACTTTTCTGTCTAGGTGCATAGCCCATAGGCTGCCTGTTTTGGTCTGTCCTAGTGGTACGTCGGTAATAGGCTGTAGAGTGGGGGTTGAGGGAAGAAAAGTGTTGAGGATGATGGGCAACGGGTTCTTTTCTTCATCTTCTTTTCATGAAGTGCGGCTAGAGGTCGTGCTCTAGGCTACTGCGCTTTTTCTGTCTGCGCAGCCATCTTCACCAGAGTTGGTGCTGGTGGCCATAGCTGAGGCCGGCCAACTACTTGAGACTCAGCGCTGGGATTCCAGGGCAGGCGCTGCAAAGTGCTTCCTCATTTGATGGTCTGTTGGGGTTTGACATGGCTTCCTTCGAAGCTCTCCATGCAAGTGCTCTTTGAAGTGGCAGCCATCTCTTCTTTATCGAGTTGGAGTCCTCCTTCATCCTGGGAGCTGCGCTCCCTGCTGTGTGGACACGTCTGTAGAGGACTTCTTGTGGGCTGAAGACGATTCCGTTGGATGCAGAAGGGTTGAGTGGTGTTGGCAGGCTTGATAGGTTGGGGCGCTATCTGCACCGTAGCCGGAGCTTGGTGGCGAGGGAGGAGGAAGAAGACTCCCAGTTACTCAATGAAACTTGTAGATATTCGGTTTCTGCGTGTTGACAACGTGGTTGGGAACTTGGGATTCTTCAAAAAACTGTGCGTTGATTGGCTGGAAGGGGCGGGCTGTAATGATCCGCCAAAACACAGACTGAGAACACTGCTGATTTCTGGGATTTGCTGCTGGAATGTATGCCTTGCTGAGATTCCCGCATTCTGCTGTGATTTCGAAGTCTGTGTGTGTGGGTGCCTGCCGGTCTGCGTGCCTGTCTGAGTGCTTGTCGACTGGAGTGTGTGTGTGTGTGACATGCAAGGGTACTTGTTGGTTTGGAGGCCCCGCAGGGCCGATACTTACCCGTGGCCGTGACTTTGAGGGTTGCAGCAGGAAAAACACTCAAATAGCGGGGGTAGGCCCACGACACTTAGAGCAGCGGGAAAAACACTCAAGTAGCAGGTAGGCCGGTACCACTCAAGTAGTGGTAGAAGTGTCGGGTACTCGAGGCCGAGCAGAAGAAGAGGTAGGCCAGTAGCAGTCCAAGTAGCCTGAGTCTAGGGCCTGTACAGACGATATCAGGGCTTGCAATGATGTTTCCCTCCGAAAGGGAGGAGGCACCAGTTGCTGGGAGGCCGCGCAACCTAGGAAGTCACTGCCCAAGAGGCAAGTAGGCCGCTATATCTTCAGGAGGAGCAAGTAGCTCCTCATTTGCGGTGTGCAAGGATTGGCGACACACTGCTGGAGCCAAGCGCTGGACTTGGAGCGCTGCCTGGAGGAAGGAGAGCAGATGGGCGCTCAGTCTGGCTATGGTGAGCAGCC